AAAATCTCACTATCAGTAGTAGTAGTTGCAGATTTAGGTTCAGATTACTGAGCTCTTCTGTATAGGATGGGATATTTTCTCCAGTTTTACCCAGCAACTGTGAAGCAAGTGATTCCATACAAACTTGTATGGCATTGGTAATTTAATATCAAATAATAGCTAGGTTGGTTTAAAGAAAATGCTTGCTTTGTATCCTACAGTTTATTTGCCTTTTGTCACCATATTTTCAATTTAATTTTGGTCAGACTCTGTTACAAGAGACTGCAAGTCTGTAGACTATATCTGAAGTGTCTTAAAATTAGGGTAAATAAAGCACTTACTTCGGCTAGAGATAATTCAGGGTCATAAAGAATGCTTCATTCAGGTCTTAATAAGATCAATCAGGAGGAACTACATTTACAGGAAAACTACTACATTCTCCATTTCTTTTTCAGGCCGCAGTGTAGCCTATGCACAGGAGGATGAGGTTGATGGGGAGGAGGACGACATTATTGATGATGAAGAGGTTAATGTTGACGATGGGACAGAATCGGAAGTAGAACAAGTGGATGGAACGGAAGAGGAAGAGGAGGAGGAAGAAATGACTGCCAAGGGATCCCCAGATGCTGACACCATCATCTACTTCACCAAGCCTGTGGGCACTGGCTCAGGTCAGTTTGAAAGTGTATGGTTTTGACATGTATACCTGAAGCTCCTCTCTAGATTTCAAAATTGCTCTTGAATATAGTATTATAGGATAGTATTGAATATTATAGGATTTTTTTTTTTATCTTCACTTCCTAATTCTCCCATGTTTCTCTCCTGATTTTTCTCTCGTACTGTATTTTACCCTCTTTCTCTCATGCATGTTCTTGCTTTTCTCTTAGTAATTTTTATTCTTCCTCCCCATCTTCACCCAATTTACTTTCCCTTCCAGCTGTATTATTCAATAGTCTAATATTTTTTTTTTTCACAGACCTGCCTGCTGGTAAGATTGTAGAGTTCCTGGTGGGCTTCACAAACAATGGGGACAAAGACTTCATCTTGGATGCCATTGATGCCTCCTTCCGTTACCCTATGGACTTCAACTTCTACATCCAGAACTTTACTGCCATCCCCTACAACCGCGCTGTTAAGCCGCGTCAGGAAGCCACAGTTATGTACTCCTTCTACCCTGCCGAAGCCTTTGCTGGTCGTCCCCTCGGCTTGACTGTCAACCTTGCTTACCATGATGCTGTAAGTTGAATATGGCTTTTCCCTAGTAGGACTTTTTTGGATGGCAGATGTGTGAAATTTTAATGTAAAGTTGGTAACTGTTGGAAGCAGTAATATACAGTATGGAATTAGTCACAGTAGAATACGGACCGTTTTCATTTT